GATATATCAATGGAAAGCTCTTTGAAAATGAATATCAGTTTACATTTACCACATTTCGATAGCTATTTTCGTTTTCAGCCTATAAGCGAATATATATATTTTGCCCCGATTTCCAACCCTTATAACTCGCCCCAGGGGCTTTATTAGCACGTATAAAAAAATACGTAAACCTTATTTTTGGCCATACTATCGCTGTACCAAATTTCAATAAAATCGGTGGGGGACAGTTCTGATACTTCCCTTGTGAGTTCAGGTTTTTCTTTTTTCTTCTTCGTAAGAGAACAATATACAATGCGCATGTACAAAAATATTTGGTGACGTATTTTAAATTTAAATACAAACTGGAAAATATTCTGAAAACTCATTTAAATCAAACTATCAAGGACTAACATGAACATAAATATTCTGTAATTAAATGTAATTAAAAAAATTTTTTTTTTTTAATTTTATGATTTTTATTTAATATTTCATAGTTATGAACTATTATAGTGGGGTTAATAGGGATGTTGGAATTTGAAATGGGAACTTTAAAATATAAAAATAGGAAGAGGTGTATAAGGATTGGGGTTCGAAAAAGGAAAAAGGGGGATCCTCTGCATTTTGGGGGAAAGGAATGGTTAAATATTTGTAAAGTGGGATTTTTAAAGAAAGTACCTGATCATTAAGGCATTCTAAATCTGTGTTGTTATTTTTAAANAAACTAGAGCTAACACTTGCACTAGAACTATACTCTGTTTTTAAACCAGGAGGAGTAAACGCGAAAGTCAGATTTACACTAGGAAAAATCACCAGAAAATATCACTAGATATTTTGGCGGTAAATTTAAATTAATAATAATTATTATTTATTTAATTACTTATTATTGTGAAATTTGTTGTGAACGACTATTAGGGTCACGATCCATACCATGTTCTAAAAAGAACAGATTTCACTCAACTAAATTGAAGACGCAAAAGGGTTTAAACAAAATTTACAACAATGACATGAAACTGTCGAATTATCAATAACCTAACTTTCAAATTCAAAATCAAAATTCAAAATTGCCTTTGTGTGAACCTTCCTCGCATTCAACCAATCACGTGCAAGGTCAATCTGGTGACAAATTTGAAATACTCCTCCTGGTTTAAAAACAGAGCATAGCAGTTTTCGAAAAATTTTTTTTTTTTTTAAATTTTATGATTTTTATATAATATTTCATAGTTATGAACTATTATAGTGGGGTTAATAGGGATGTTGGAATTTGAAATGGGAACTTTAAAATATAAAAATAAGAAGAGGTGTATAAGGATTGGGGTTCGAAAAAGGAAAAAGGGGGATTGGCCGCTAGGACCCCAAAAAGTGCGAAAAATGCACGCGGACCGGATGCATTAATCCTCTGCATTTTGGGGAAAAGGAATGGTTAAATATTTATAAAGTGGGATTTTTAAAGAAAGTACCTGATCATTAAGACATTCTAAATCTGTGTTGTTATTTTTAAATTTATCTATTTCGTATTGTTCTAATAAACTAAGTTTAAAACCTTTGTTCTGTTTATGTAGCAATGTATGTCCTCTTGTATGTCAAGATCATGTCTAAACATTAACATATGTCTACCAAAATTGGAATTATCATTATGTTGGTGTTCTTTAATTCTAGTTTTGATAGATCTACCTGTTTCACCAATATAAGTAGCACCACAAATACTGCATTCCAATTTATAAACACTATTTTAATCTAACAAATTGATTTTGGCGTTGAATAGTTTTTTCTGTAAAGTGTTTACATTTTTATAGGAAATATTAATATCGTATTTACAGAAAATCTTCTGGATATTATAAGCAACATTACCAGGGAAATTAATTGATCTATATATTAAATTATTATTTTGTGTGAGTGGTTGTAAAGTGGTTGAATTTTTAAGTTGATGTTTTATCTGAAGTTTTTTAATTAAAGAATTTATCAATTAATAGTGGTATTGAGAAACCACTATTAATTGCTATAGATCTAATGATATTAAATTCATTATTTCTATCTTGTTCAGATAGTGGTGTATTGAGACATCTGTGTTCAAGCTCTGAAAGCTGCAGCTTTATGAGAATTATGATGGAAAGAAAAATTAGGAATTACAGTGTCAGTTTGTGTGGGTTTTCTATAAATTTTAAATTCAATTGATTCACCTTTATTAATGAGAGTTAAATCTAAAAAATTTAGTTGGTTCTCGCTTTCTAATTCCAAAGTGAATTTAATATTACTATGTAAATTATTGATGTAATTATGAAACTCATTAATAGAGATATCATTCTCATTATTTCAAATAATTAATACGTCATCAACATATCTGCGTCAAAGGGTTACGTTCTTATTTAGAGGATTGTTAGTATCAAAAATTGTATTTTCAAGATGATTAAGGAACATAGCCGCTCAAAGGAGATCCCATAGGTAAGCCTTCGTTATATTTATAGAATTTATTGTCAAACTGACAAAAATTTTGTTCAATGCATATTTTCAGTAAATTGTAAACATGTTCTGCATCAGCCTGATTAATTTTGTTACTTATCATATTTTTTAGAGAGAATCAAGGTTTCGGACACTGGTATATTAGTTAATTTGTTACGTCAAAGGAAAGTAAAGTGAAATTGTTTGGTAATTGTGTGTTTTGAATTATGTTAATTAAATCATATCTATTGTTTATAGTGAAATCTGCTTTAAATTGAATTATGTTTTTGAAAAATTGTATTAAATATTTTAAATTTTATAAGTACTTGAGTTTATGGAAGAAATAATAGGCCTAATTGGGAAGTTATTTTTGTGTAATTTGATCAATGAATAAATCAAAGGTGTTTTTGGATTCATTGGTAGAAAATTAAACATAGAAACAGAATGTTCCTTAAGGAAATCTTGTGCTGATTTATCTACTTTTTTAATTTTTGTGTGAAAACTAGATGTTGGGTTTTTCTTAATTTCAATAAAATTATTTTCATTTAAAAATTTTAAAGTTTTTGAAATATATGAAGATTTGTCTAAAATTACTAAACCGGCGTTTTTGTCAGCATTTGTAACAATCAGTGAATTGACTTTAATTTTATGTTTAATCTTACGTAATGTTTGAATTTCTTCCCAATTAGAAATCTCTTCAGTTTTGGTGTTCTTTTCTTTCCTTTTCAGCAGTTCGATGAGATCATTCCTTAAGCTGCCCTCCCTCGGTACTTGACAATAATTTTAATTAGTTCACCGCTTTATGTTTTCGATATTAATTTCCTGTAAAATTCATTGACTTGTAAGTATTTAAAAAAAAACTTTTTATTGTTAATTCACAATTTAGATTTTACTTATTAATTAAAAATTGTTAATTCCTGTAGTTGTCTCTGATGATGGCTTTTTGCCGAAACTAGTTAGACAACAAAAATATAAATAAACCAGTAAAAGTACAACAAAATTAGAAATTTTTTCTATCACGTCAAAATATTTAATCGATTCGACTGTAAAAAAATATTTGTAATTTATGCAATTGATGATTTATTACCATCAATTAAAGTTGATAATTGTGCCAATTTGACACGATGTCGGGATAAGGGTTAATTTAGTACGATTAGATAGAGTATTGTGATGAGAAAAAGTCATTAATCGGTATGGACTTGGGTGACTTTCGATTACTACCGCGATATTGAAAATTTCATATTTCAAAACACCATCGCTGACGCGTGTTGATTTTGTCGCTTCGAACGAAGGATTATTTTCGTAACAAATTTTTTGTGCGACTGCGATATATTCGACAAGAACATTAGTTTGCGTGATGATGTTTATAACTGTTCATAACTCGATGAAAATCGGATCTATACCTTATCATATACCTACTCTCTGAGTTTAAATTCTAAGTATTTTCTGTTGCTGTTTGAACCATTACTTTTAGACAATTTAATTTAGAACTTACTCTGTATAATCCATATAAGAGTAATATTGAAGTTACTATTCCTAACGTTGAAAACCCAAATATTACACCTGTAAATATTGTGGATGCTGAAAAATAAACACATATGCAAATAAATAAATAAATTAACTCATTTATATTTACTTATAGAAGCCATATCAGGATCTAAAAAACTCTCCATTTTAGTAGAAGTTTCATTCCTAAGGAGTAATAATTCTTGATGAAGCACAGAGCATGTCATTGCCGCAAAGATCGTAAAGTACACCTGAAATAAAACAGAAAGGTGTTATTTAACTTTTTCTGATGAGAAACTAAAAAATTTATAGAATTTAAATAGAATTTTCCAAGACACTTATAGTTTTTTTTCGGGCTTATGAGTTGTTGTGGAATTTGTAGAAATTCCCCTGAAAATAACCTTTGATCATTACCCACATGTAATTAGCAAGTACTTTGAGTAACATTCTGGCATTTGCAAGGGAAAGACCTCTGAAGCGGCTGCGGCTAGGGTAGCTGTTTTAGCTGACAAAGTTAATAGTGATGTTCAAAGCACGTCTCGCTATATATGAAAGTCAGTTTAGATTGCTTAGTGGTTATTTTAAGAGTTATTTTCAAAGTGCCGTATAAATTAGTGTCGATTAATTCGAGTTTATTTTATTTGTAAAGAATTTATTTCTGTGTATCAACTTCATGCTTTCATTTATATTTACTTTTATTAATACTGTAATTTCAACACAATTTATTAATATGAAATTAGTACTATTGATTGTATCAGTAACATTCTCTGAAACATAAACCGGTTATTTTTCAGTTGTAATTGCTTCTTTTTGGATATTAATACCCGCAACTAATTTCGAATCGTTTGTATTATTCAGATCTTTGTGGCTTTATTGCGAATTATTTTATTTATTAATTTTGATTAAAATTTTTGTTTGTGTAAGCTTCGTGAAACCCGCAATATTATCTATCCAAAATACACTGAATGGAATGATTTCGTTCTTGAATATACACAAATTTACCCTATATAGAGTTATTCATGCTGGACAGAAAAGGGGGGTTTGGAACGGGGTTGAACTGGAAAGCCGTGGCGATAAACGACACCGACTGCTCTGACCGGCAGCGCGTATACCGATAAAATGCGATATCGCGAGGGGATGCGGCGTCCGGATTAATTAAATTAAAGTGTACCGAGGGACCACGCTTACAGATTAAAGTTGCGTTATTTGGTATATAGTCCACAGCCCTTCGTTTACACTGTACCAACGTTGTGTCGCAGCAGCAGTTCAAATCCTCCGTCCTAGAATCAACGACAAGTGCTTTTAATTGAGGATTTTCAATATGTACTGCCATTCCGATAACAAGGTTTCAACTAAAAATTAATTACAAGCGCTGTTTAATTAAACTACGAACAAGAATCAATTTTGATTTTAATTGAATTTTGATTAAAAAAATCTTCTGTATTACGATCACCAGATTTTAAAGAGAATCTTGCTAGGTCTGAAATTCGAATAGAGAAGCCATTCTGATTTAGAATAATATTTAAATAACTTCTGTGACAACTGAATTAGTATTAGCGTCTTTAAAGACTTTAACATAATCACTGGTTAACTCAACTTTCTAATTTTTCAGAGTTGATTCAATATAGGCCGAATCACATTTTATTTGGAGTATTGTAAAATTAACATGTATGCTAACGATTTACAGTTATTTTTTTCATTCCCAGGTATTGATTATCATGGTGCTGATGCTAAAATAAATAGTGACTTAAATAGAACGTATCGTGTGGCAGCTAACTATCAATTGAGAGTCAACTCAAGTAAATCCATGTATATGTGTCTCGGTAATGCCAGGGCTAGTAGCAGATCTGTGTTAAATATACAAATGAATGGTGAAATAATCAGTTTAGTTCAGGAATCCAAATGCTTAGGGTTAAGAATAGATAATACCACCCGGCTGTTGATGACTTCTAACCGCATACAGAGAGTGCAAAGCAGTTGTCTGAGGTATATTTATGGTATCAGAAAATTTGATAGAATTACTCATAAGCTGAATGATAAAATGGTTGTCAATGAAACAAAGAAGAGATCTTCATAGCTTATGTGTCTTCCATCCAAATTATAATCTCATGTAAGCCCGAATATCTGTATAAAAAAAGTTTAAACCGACAACAAACCCATATGTTACGAGATTAAACAATCTTATATATCCACCAAAACATCGAACGTATCTATTTGAAAGAAGCTTCAGCTGTCACTTTTACAAATCTTATAGTAAATTGCCAAACGATATGCAAATTCTGAGCTTATGCACATTCAGGAAGCGTTTATGCGGCTGAGGCGTTGAGGTTTTAGCAGCAAGGGGGGGATAATCTGATGCTAGGATATTTACCGTTGGCATGTTGGGATTTGTGAAGGCAGTACAAGTTTTTGTTTTAGTTAGTTAAGTACTTTATAATACATTTTATATGTTTTTTTTTTTTTGGTTTTTTTTTTTCTTTTTTTTTTTTTGTTTATTTTTTGTTTTTTTTTTGCAACCAACTGTGTTGGTATGAACAAACATTGTCTGGAACCCGCCCATTGTGTTCCTTCTTTAATTTATATTATGAAATAGAAATTTTGGCGGTGAGTGTTCATAAAGGTTGTTCTACAAACGTGGATTGTATCTTTACCATTAGGTGGTCTATCATTAGGTAAATCAGAGTTATCTTGTGTACTTTCTTCATTGTCACTATTTTTCTGGATGTAGGACAAAGACGTATTTGGACTTAAAAACTCTTTTCTTTGGTCCTAGTAGTAATAGAACCACAAAGCCTTTCTTTATATTTGAAGCACATTTAGTATATACAGCCAAGGGCGTCACCAGAGAGGGGCAGAGGGGGGTCACGCCCCCCCCTAGAGGTAGATTAGAAAAAAAAATTAAAAGCACAATAAATACACATCTCGTGTACTGAACAACTATCGAATGGGATGCCATATTTTGATCTGGAAACCAAGGAAGTTCAAGAAGTATTCCTCGGATTCGTCAAACTTGATGCTTTGGATGCGAAATGTATTGCAAAAGCAATAGATGAGTTTTCGGCAGAAGAAGATCTTGATCCGGACAAATGTGTTGGTTTAGGATTTGACGGTTGTTCGACGATGTCCGGGAAAGAAGGTGGTGTACAAGCAATCCTACGCAGAAAATATAAAAAAGCTTTGTGCTTTCATCAAAGGAAGGTGCCATCAAAGATATTATTACATTTTTTCAAGAATTAGTTTTGAGACGCAAATTGATACCAAATATTTCCAAGCTTTGCGAAACAAGATGGATCGAGAAACACAAAAATATTAGTGTTTTTAATGCGAATTTTCCTATTATAATGGAGGCCTTTGAAACCTCGTCACGGGAAGAAAATAAGAATAAATAATGCGACTAGAAAAAATACTTATCAGCTCCATGCAGCAGCTTCTAGAGTTTCGTTTATTCTCAGCTTTATTTTGATAGCCAAATACTCGGCTGATGGAACCTGTGGAACGTGGAACGTTCTCCAATCCGTAGCTTTGATTGCAGTTAAGGCATCCCAGCACATTAGTCGCCTTTTGGAATTTATAGAAAACCACCGTAACGGTCCAGAAAACGTCACAAATGGAATTATTAGGGACGCTACTATCGTTGCAGAAAAACTTGGACTAGGAGAAGACATGAAGTCCTTGCCCCGTATTGTTGAGAGACAACAACATCAGAACAACCACCCAGCAGCAAGCCCCTCAGAATTCTGGCGGAGGTCTTTAATAACACCATACTTAGACTCGATTATTAATTCTTTTGAAGTTCGCTTTTCTGAAGAAAACACCCGGTCATTTTCCTTATCTAAATTACACCCAGCTCAAATGTTAGACATGTCCCTTGAAGACCTCGTAGAAACTGGTGAAGTCTTTTCCCAATTTTACAATTTATCAAATATCAACAACGAAATCGAACTATGGAAAAAACTATGGCAGGATAAACCTGACTCAAAAGAATTAAGTGTTGTGGATGTCATAAAAGATGCCGACATTTTTTTCCCTGAAACGAGAAAAGCCTTTATAATTTTGGTCACTTTACCCTGCACGACATATACTGTTGAACGATCTTTTAGCAGCTTGAGGACAATAAAACCTGGCTTAGAAGCACTATGGCAGAATGTCGTCTCAATGGTCTTCCCATGATGAATGTGTATAGGAAGCATATTTTTGAAAATTTTGAGTGTTTTGTTAATAATCTGGTTGACCAATTCGCGAAGAAGCCACGAAAATTATGTTTTAAATAATTTGGTGTTATTTTTAAATTTTTTTGTCGTGCCCCCCCCTGGCCCACTGGCTGGCGACGCCCTTGTATACAGCGTACACCTATTATGAAATTAATGTTTTTGTATTGTATGCAAATTTTTAGTTAAATATTGCTGATTTATTTCTTATAATCCGCCTATGGAAAACGCTGTGTGGAATGAGTAGCCCAGTAGGAAAGTTTGATGGAAAGAACCTACTATTAGTGGAAAAACTTAATATGCTCAAAAGACAACGGACTAGCCTCGGAAACGGACGGATCAGAATAAGACCACTATGGTAAGGGAAAGGAATAAGATTGATAGGAGAAAGAAAACTTGTTAAGATTAGTCACTTTGAACGTCGTTCCGCGCATATGTATAATATAATAATAGTAATAATCTTTATTACCCCAACAGAGATAAGTCTCATAACAAAGGTAATATTATAATAATTACAAAAATTATTTGAAGAAGGTGACAATTGATGAACTAATTTAATAATATTATCTACAAAATCGGCAGCGCGGTTGATTTTATTGATAGGCGAATGTAGGCCCCAATTGGTGTTACCCCTATGCGGTAAGAAAGTCTTATTGTTAGTGCTCCTGGACTCCATTCTTGGTACTCGGAAATTTAATCGACATAGGACTTGAGGTGCTGTCACACGGCCAAGCAGTATGTTGTTAACAAACGAAGCGCACAGTTGCTGTCGTCTTCATTCGAATGATCTGAGATCATACCGCTGAAGTAACGTATGATAGTAATCACTTCCTCTAGGAGGATAATGCCCCAATTCTAGGAAATGTATATATTTAACATATTTTCTCTGCACCCTTTCTATTGTGGAGATGTTATTCTGAGTTATTGGTGACCAGACAATTGCACAATACTCCAATTTACCTCTAACGAACACTTTATAGAGAGTGGACACTGAGCTCAACCTGGCAAACTCGCAGCTGTTTCGAGTGATAAACCCAAGGACT